ATGCGATCCCCTCTTTCGAATAATCCGAACGGACGGTTGACGCCGCCCATAAATGAATGCTACATCGCATAGCTGCTTCTGGAAAGAGGGTTTTATTTTTGGCCATGGATTTCTCCCCGTTTTTGTTACTGGTTAAACTTTACATCTTCACTGTCACTTTCATGCGCAATGACACACCATTTTGATACCGGACTTTGCCTTCAAGGAGATGCTCTAAAAATCGATTACAGGCGCACTTATTGAAGCTCTTGATGCTATCTGATGTTGTGAGATGATGCAAAGTCTGCAGTTACGACAGGTCGGCCGCGGTGGATTTCCAAAAGTCCATGTGCGATCATCGGATAATATCATTGATGGTAAGGCTGAAGGTAGAATGAATGGCGTGTTCATCATGAAGTTCTGTGTGTGCGGAGTTTGATTGCATAAATACGGTGGGCAGTCAAGCAGAGACTGAACATATGGAAACGTCTGATGTTGAATAAGTGACCGGTCCGCTGGAATACGGTAATTAAGACAATGTGAAGCTCATTATCCGCTCACCACCACCTTCTGCACACTAGTGCATGCGTTTTGGATGTACAGAAAAATAAAAATTAACATATTCTATTATACAAACTAAAAGTATTATACATCACAAAAATACCCATCGTATTCTATGTACAATGTCTTTTGTATCAACTGAAAACATTCTCGGGATTTTTTAGCTCTCGAGAATCATTCTCCACCTTATATTTCCTACAGCACTCAGGCCGAGTTCATACACAACGTTTCGGGAGAATTGAAGAAACGGGGCACCTACGAAAATGTTCGATGCATATCGATCGCGGGTGCTCATGTCGTTGAGGGGGAGGATATTCAATTGAGTATGCCAAGCGCTGTGCTTTAGACCAAGCCTTAGGAAGGGGAAGAGATTCTGGGGAAGGATGTGAGCAATTTGTGTCTCCCTGGCGTTTCTCCATCCTCCTGGGCTCACACTAGTCCTAAGTTCCCTTGACCCTGTATTGAATGTCCCCTCTAAGGACATGAACGCTCCATCGCGACAGCCAGAAATCAGCACGTACATGATTTTGTTCGCCGATTCTCCGATTCTCCCGAGGCGTGAACCCAGCTTTGGAGCAGTTCATGAACCATTGAACAAACCAACTGACCTTGCGCGGTACGGTGACGTCTGTCAGTAGGAAGTGTTATCGCTGCAACGTTGGCATCATAGTTCTGAAAGCAGTGACATTAACGATGTCATGGCGGTCACTAATTCACACAAAATGTTATAAAACTTTCCGGAAGTGGAGGCGTGATTTGCAATGCGACCTCGAGGATTGGCACTCTCACCCTTGCGTTAAAAAGCCGCAACGGAAGCCAGTTCGAACTTCGCACTAACCATGAAAGCTTCTAAGTCTCTGACTGCCTGACCATCAAATCTCGCAGCAACCATGTAAATTCGTCTATGTCTATGTACCCTCCCCTTTCAAAAAACGAGAAGAGCGTCGGGTGCAGACCATACACCACAAGTGACGACGGCCTCCAAGTAAATCTGGTTAGTAGTGGTTCATAGTGATAGCTGATTTTGGTAAATGATAGTTGTAATTAGTGACAACTGATAGAATACAACTGCAACAGGCTAATCATTTCATTGGCAGAAAACATTTACATTTTGTGGAGGCCGTCGTCACTTGTGGTGTATGGTCTGCACCCGACGCTCTTCTCGTTTCGTTTTTTTTTTTTGAAAAGGAGTATATGTATTGTACCAGTGTCCACTCGCTAGCCCACGTTCGTAGCCTCCGACCGATTGCTCGCCTTGTTTTTGGAACATCGTTCAGTCACCCTACGTTACTCACCATCAGGTGGATCAACCGTACTGGCACTTATCGTTAGAGCCCTTTTCACTTTTATTCAATAAATATAGAATAGTGTGATAAGAATAAATTAAATATAACTACCATCCCCACATTTCCGAGAACCCCAGGATTTCCGCACTGTATCCATTTCGGCTGTTTATTTCCAGATAAATAAATCTACCACCATCGCGGAATTTGCTCTTTACTTACTAGGAATATTAGAAATTCGAAACTGAAAACAAATTATTTTTTTTACCTTTGGCGAATACTGTAAAAAAAGAAGTAGGTATTACTGAGAGAAAAACTAAGAAGTAGAGCGGCTTCCTCACCTTAAGTATAGCCACCAGCGAATCAATGTAGGAGATAGCAGCGTTGAGAATTTTCAGCTTGGAGACCCGTTTCGTATGCGCCCGTAATGAGGGCAGGTGAAATTTCAAAGTGACGAAAGCCTAAAAGTACGCACTTTTATGAAACGAAAGTGGTTCATGCATCATTACTGCAGCATATGTATTGAACCATTGGCTTCCGTCAAGAGACCCGTCGTGTGGCCAGAAGGCAGAGACGCAGACAGGTCAGCGGTAAGTCGCAGCGCGTATTGCGGCGATTTACCGTCAAGTTAAATAGTATGTACTATAGTACTTCTCTTATCGCACAATACGCGCTGCGACTCGCTGACTGAATCCCGTCTCTGCCTTCTCACTGCGCCATGAGCTTCCTGTCGGGTACCCTAAACAATTGCGGAACCCCTTTATATGAACACTTCCGTAGGTTTTTGTCGTTTGATTTATCGGTGACAGTAATCTCGGTAATTTGTAATCTTAGTCAATATTTTCAAATACATTTAAGTTACCTTTTTCTTGAAAGTTAAAGGAATCTTCCGCGGAAAAAGCTCCGCCTCCATTACCACTAGAAAAACGATACCCCTTAGGCCCCTAGCCTCATGAGCATAGCAAAAAGAACGGAACATAAGCGTTAGTTTCGATAATACTAATCCTACACACAAGACAAAATGATCACTCTTTCCGTGGAAGATTCCTTTAAGGTATCGTTTTCTGTGGTAATGAGGGCGGAGCTTTTTCCGTGGAAGATTCCTTTATGCTAAATTTTCACTTAATGTTAGAAAAAAATGGTTAACACATCAAAGATAACGATCCTTTTTTGAGTTTTTTCACATTGTGCATCACGCGGCCACGAAGAATTCACCCAAGAAGCTAGATCAAACAATAGCCATGAAGTGATAGTTCTCGATAAGTGAAGAAGGAAAGTAGAAATTGAATGAAACGACAAAAGACGAGTGGCTCATTAGCAGCTGTAAGCCGCAGCAACTCTAAGCGGGCCCCAGGTACAAGTGTAAGAAGGAAAATTGCGGTTCTCACTCTTTTTGTTCGCCTTATTATTGTGTGCAATTAACCCATTGCGGACCGCGTGCTGCACATGGGCGCAGCACGCCACCACGCGGAGAAGGACAGTAATCTTTGATTTTTTCAGCATTTTGTTAAGTTACAAACTCATCAGTTTACTTTTTTGGACACAGGATATATCACTTATTGGCATACTGGTTAAATTTTTGATAGGTCATTCGGCCACTGATTAACAGATGACAAAAACCTACGGAGGTGCAATTATAACGGCGGTCCGCAATGGGTTAAGAGGTCTTCAACACATTGACGACAACGCGGGCGACATACTATATCCGCCGCGCATGTTGCAGGCCAATGGGGGTTTTCCCCCGAACGATTTCAAACGGCGAGTAATATATATCCCCCGCACCCATTACACTCATTTTTTTCGCGCACGCCTGATTCTTTTAGAAGTTTCTTGTATTCATTCCATGGAAGAGACCTTGACGTAGCTACAAACATAGTGGCCCTTAGAATGGTCACGTATACTTTAATTTAGAGGAGGATTTCTGAACCATACGAAATCTTCATTTCAATAAATTTTTCGTTTACTTTTTCTTTTTATTAATGTGAAGATTTAAATAGTAGTAGAAGTAGATAAGGAACCTTAGGGATGACAATATGTGTGTTTGATTTTAAAGGCAAACTCCGGAATTAAACTGGTGCTAAGAGCGCTTCGCAGTGATAGCTTAGCTGCGGAGCGACCCCAAAGTGGAGAGGGAAGCGAGAGAACTCTTTGGGAACGCTGAACTTAAGGCCTTAACCTTCAAAAAGGTCGGATGTGGTACGATGGCAAGACAGGGCGATCAGAGAGGTCAAAACACGCGAGAGAGAACGTCGTTTGAGAGAGCACGCTGATCTCTACATCAATGCACGCTGATCTCACCACATCTCGCGGTGGGTGGGAAGCGTTCGATGGTTGGAGGCCCGTAAGGATTAGCGCCCTAACCGCGCGATTTTCGCGACCAAGTTGAAGTGATCTAGGTAGGTACGGGTCTTACAATTTCCCTCGCGGTATCCTTCCTACTAGTCGGGCTAATCCCGGGGTTTGCCTTTAAAATCAACGGAAAATTGGTTTTGAGGATTCATTGCAGCTAGTTCTGACCAATTTCGCTTTTTCATTGTTATTTCCATGTCTTTCGATCGAAATTCCACTACTGTACCCCTTGGCGTCTGTATACAATTTACTGATTTGGTTTTGAATTGATCATTAGTTGTGTATTTATCACTCAAAATCTGCTTGAACGACCTGAGGCGAGCGCGCCCGCAAAATCGCCGCGGTCCCACGTGGCCAAAAAAGCCAAAACTCGCGTTGTCGTCAATTTGTTAAAATATTGGAAATTTGAGCCTCCCTATAAGGTTTTCTGAAATAGGTCCAGCGACCCCACACACCACAAAGCGTGACATTGAGTCATAATCTAATACTGCCGCAGCTACGGCCGCGCTTTTCTAGTAGCGCCAACGTGCCGGAAGGTGGGGCTTGAGAAGTGGGGCGTTTATTGCGGGGGAACGACCTCAGAGCGCAGGGTCAATCCTATGTTGCTACAAGTAGCAACGGGGGGTCGTATTTTGGTGAGTTTGTAGGGGGGTCGTACTTGCTTAGGTTGTAAGAAGTGGCAGTGCCCCCCCCGCTCGACGGTAATTTTTTGGGGTAAAAATTGGTCGGAAAGGGGGGGGGGGTCGTAGGAAACTTTTCCTGAAGGAGGGGGGTCGTAAAAACTTTTCGAAAAGTAGCAACGATAGGACCGACCCTGCCTCAGAGCGCGTTGGGCTGCTTCTTTTCAACCGCCCAACGACATCAACACTCGTCTGTCTGCTTACCGCGATCGGGAATGTAACGTGTGTGCTTGCCCAATCCCGGAGCGTGCCTTTAAGCAAAATCCACGGAGCAATTAGTGAGGCAAAACTGTCGATAACAAAATTGTGGGGTACAAACTGAGTCGAAAAAGAAAAAACAAAACCAAACCGCCGACGAAAGCCATTAATAACACGCAGCCTTGGCTACCTTGCCTTCTGCATCACGCGTTCTTGGGTGTGAGTGAGGGGCGTATCTGGGCGAGTTGTCCGAACTTGCTTGCTCCATGGCTCCACTAACCCACATTTGAATTAGCCGCTTCGTAGTAAAACATGCTGCGTATCAAGGGGTGTGCGCGCGGTATCTCGTCCATAAGTTTGCAATAGTCATCATCAGACCACTTTTCAAAGCTCTAATGTCACTATTGCGCGTTTTTGAGCTGGGACAACGGCACAACCAGGATGCTCGCGGGTTACTCTCTTCCACCCACAGAATAGATTCTTCGACACGACCTTATCTGGGATTGTTCCTTTGATGGGAAATGTTTCAGTCGAAATCACCTGGTTTACAGTATGAACGCGTGTGCGTTCACGTGCATTCCGTTTCGCCACCACTGTCGGTTGCTTTTGCCATCGTTTGTGTTCCGTACGCCTCTCGGCGTCGCTTGACTCATCTGAAACGTCATCATCTGCGCAACTTATTGTCAACCTGTCATTTGACCGACCACGAATACTACTCGAACATAGATACCGTAACCTCACCGTACTGTGGATTTATGTGGCGATGAATAGTAAAGCGCTCCTTTGATGCACACGACTGTTCGTTCATTTAAGTTCACCTTAATAAAAACTAAGATATAGAACAAACTTAAATCAAGGGATATAACGAAGAGATTCAAGATTATTTATTTATTTATGATTTATTTTTTTGTTGATTTAGTTGGATTTATATTATTTTTTTGTGTTTATTCAGGCTACAGCGAGTGCGTCACACAGTTTCGAGTCAACACAATCACCAAAAACAAAATTAAAATTTTTTTTTTTTTTTTTTTTTTTTTTTTTTTTTTTTTTTTTTTTTTTTTTTTTTTTTTTTTTTTTTTTTTTTTTTTTTTTTATAATATTTTTTTATCAATAACCAATAAAGTCAATGTTTAGAGAAATATAAAATAAAGTTAAAATTTGATCTCGCTAATAGTCAACTTGGGAATTTGATGTTGTTACAAAAGTTGATATTAAAAAAAGTAGAAAAAATAAAAGGAAAACAAAAAAGAATGCCAGAAGAAGCAGAGAGCGTGACGAAGCCTACTGGAACTGCCACTGTCTATGATTAGAACTCCCCTTGTGAGAGTACTAGAAACTTACTAGTCCATAAAGTAGATGAATTGTGAGTGAGAGTAGCTAAGAAACTTACTAGCCAGTAAAGTAGATGAATTCTGACTCTGAATTGTGACCTCCATCACCCCCCCCTCCCTCTACCCTCCCGACGAGAAGGTTGATGAGCGAAACCCAAGTATAATAGCTAGCGAAAAGGATGGGTAAGCAACTCACAGAAATTTAACTCATAGTGACTCATTTAGTCCAGCAACTGAAAAGTAAACTCGAAGAAGCCCTGGAACGTTCCCAACCATATTTTTCCTATGCCCCGTGAAGTCTTGTTCCATAAAATATCTGAGCGATTAGTAAGCAAAATGAAACGTTTGCTTCCTGCCCGACGAATCCAATACACAACTGTGAGAGAATATAAAATGTTCATTATTTGATCTTTGATGGAAATCTTTTGAAGTTAGCAAAACCTAAAATTGAAAATGAATCCATAAAAATGAAAAAAATGAAAAGTTTCACTTAGCGATCTGGTTACCAGACTATTTCAGTTGAGAGTACTGAAAACCAAGAAATCGAGAAGGAGAACCTACCGTAACTCGAAACGTCAATCAGCGGCACTCAATAGGAGTCACATGGCTAGCGCCTTCACCTACTGTAATTAATGGATTAATAATAAATAAGGTGTTACCTGACAACGTAATTGCATTTCTAATTGAAATTTCGATTTGTATAAAAACAACACTGATAGGTTTGATAACCGTGATTGACTTCACTAGGAGCACTACTGGCCCACATTGAAATATTGTGCCAAAAGTGAGGGTGAGGTGCTAATCAGGGTGAAAATTGAGTGGAAGGGATGTCTGTTTCAGTACGATCCTCCATTCACTAAAGGCCTTAGTACAACCCCTTCCACATAATCAATGCGATCAATGATGACAAAGTGTGCTTACATCTTGACCCTTAGATATCCGCTCCCAAGCAGCAAAGAGTGGTGGCGGGGGGGGGGTGTGAGATGGGAGTAATATATGGAAGCGAAATAGCTATTTTCACGCTATTAGCTTCACTTTTCCAGCCTGTCCCCATTGTTCCGTTCTTTTTGAGATGACTGCAAAAATTTTCGGTGAAATGGAATTAAGGGCGGGGCACTCCTTGCCATTTTATCCTAGAGAGCACTCCCCAGGCTTTCTAACGCTGAGGAAAAGTAGTACGCAAACGACTCATTTGAAGTGAAGTTGCTTCAGATGGGGAGCATTAAGTGTCCTACACTGCACACATCCTGCTCACATTTAGCAATTTTCCGCACCTAGTCATTCGCTTTGAAGCTCCTTTTATCTTAGGCCAGGTAAAGATGCTCATTTCACTAGTTCAGGACCGTTTACTCAGGATCATTGAAGGCCGAAACATGAAACATTTCAAGAACACTTCCGCTACTCTGCTAGTACTACTTACTGGTACTTATCAATAGTATATTTCAAATAAGCCGATTACGTGTCATGAGCGCTTGTTCTTATTTGTAGATTGGAGCGCATAAGGGAGTGCTGCCTTCCCTTAAACTTCAGTTTCACCAAAATCTAACATACGACTCCCCTACCTCCCACGTGGGCGAATATGACCACCCGTCACAGATTCCTCAACCGTTATAAACTCTGGTGCCAATCAATCTACCAGCAGTGGAGGAGGCGAAAACTCCGTCAAAATTTGAAATTAGCAGAGTTAGCTACGGCTATTGAAATCTGTGATTCACCAGTCAGCCAACCCTAGCGGTGGCGAGAAACGCGAGGAATCTGTTGAGAAATCAAGAAATCTTTGAGTGAACATGGTCAGTGACTGTCCCGTTCCCGTTTCTTTGAGTTCTCACGTAATTTCCAGCGTTTACCATAGTGACTGACGTTCCACCCGTTATATCACACATAGAAAATCTATGCTTCTCAACGCAGCCTCAACCTTCTATTTTCTTGTCTACTACAGCGATTACGATTTGAAGGGTTTAGAGAGACGTGGTGGTGCTCAATGGTACGCCAGTGGCGAAAAAAGCAGAGAAATCCGTCAAGAAAACGCAAAACGGGACCCCTTTTTTGGCCGTTGGTTTTCACTCATGAACAGGTAACAGCTCAGAAAGCGGACGTATGAACGAGTTCACCGCAACGCGTTTGGTGGCACCATGCCAAACCACGCTCCAATCGAGTTGCTCCAGTTGTGCCGCTGCTGGCAACGCAGCTCGTCCAAATCACCAACTAAACTAGTGGGCGGATCGCTTTGGGCTTTCGAAGTCCTGCTCAGCAACCAGCGCACCTTTCGTCGTGAAAGCGCCACACCTCGCTTCCCTGGCAGCCAAGTAACTGCTTCGTGTGGTGCATATGCTTCCCCGATGCGCTCCCTCTTTATCGTAATCGCTTCCTTTAGTCTCCCAGCGCGATGCGCGCTTCCTTGTAGCCTGGTACAGAACAGAGCGAGAGAATCTCGACGGGTTTTCAGTGGAGGTGGGTGTGCTGAAGGAGCGCTAATGGCGAAAAAAGCAGAGGAATCCGTCAAAAATACGCCAAGTAGAACCTTCCTGTCTGCGTGTTGATTTTGACCACAGACGAACAGCGGCCAACGAAAAGGTCTTCTGGACGCGTTAACCTCGCCAGCAAGCATCATGATACCAAACACCGTAGTTTGCTGATAACGCATTAGAGAACTTACGGGATATGGCCGCTTGGTAAAGTGTATTACGGAATTTCGGAGCGAATGGTGCTGCTACTAGATCCGAACGTAGAGTCTGAGCACAGAAAAGGTTTCGAGCCCCAGTGTGCTGCAACTAGCGCCCTGCCCTTTGCCGCGAAAAGGCGACACCTTGTTACCATTGGCGTCTAGCCACTGCCCTGCCTACCTCCATGCTACATACACATTTCAACGCACTCGCTCGCTTTAACGCATATCCTGCCTCATTTCGGTACACTAACTCTTTCTTGATAATAACCTAGCATTGACTTTTGAATATGAATTTTTGGCTCAGTTTTTGATCCGTTTTTTTTTGTTAACCTCAGGTTCCCGCCTCAGTTCGCGATGCGGATTTCCTAATCAGAATGCGGAGTTGTGAGCGAAACCCTGTCTAGTTCAGAACTCGAAGGCACGTCCTGGGTTAGACAAAGTCACCTGCTCCATCCTCAATCGCAGTAGACAGGCGGACGAGCGTTAATGTTGCGCTATTTCTTGAAAATGTGCGACAAAGGCGCAAGGAGCTCACTAATCCGCAATGCATTCTCTGATCCGCAAGCCTCCGCCTTTCGCCGTCGGCTCGGCTCCCACGTGACGCCGCGAGAGAAGGGAGGGCGCAGTTGTGTCATTGCAGTTCAGTGGTTATTGCACTAGAGCAACTGAAGCTTAGTGCTCGTGAAACGGCGTCCAGCACACGCTCACCCTTTCTCCATCCAGAGGGTAAGATTACAGACTGAAAATAGAGTGCCCCTATTCAGTATGGTTTTGTTCGCTTCTTCTTTCTCTAGACTCATTCCCACTCCACTCCTAAATAAAGGCGTAGAACACACATTATTCAAAGCATTGTTTTTTATCGTTCTCGAGTGGCTTCGCAAATACGAATGTAACCATTAACAGCGCTGTTTTCCCCTAAGCTGATGCTGGTATCCTGTCCCTGCCCGCTCTCTTTGTGCGAACATTCTTGATTCAATGCCCCCACCTCATCTTGTTAACTGGATGTCAACATGTGAACCCCTTGAATACTATTTCCCATGCCGTAAAAATCACAGGTTCGGCTTCATTTCAGCAATGTTTGCGTACAATACAGTCTTTCATTAACCCAATTATTACGATCTAGACGACAAAACAAAAGCAAAACATCAGACAATTTCTATAACAAATACTCTTGTGAGAGGTCCTTGCCACGGTATGGAGCTTCCTTCTGGAGGCTGGTAATGAGGAAAAAGCCAACAACCGAGGAGAAGAAACTTGGGAGGAAAGGGAAAAAACTTACTGACATATCAAGTTTTCCTTTCGAAAAGGGATTTCATTCGGTCCTCAGTTGTTCTGGGCTACGCCATTAACAACTGTTTATAAACAATGCGAGAACGAGGTTTTATATCGGTCACAGGAATACAGACATAGGCCTACTAAGTTAAATACAGTGAAGTTCAAAATTATTCGAGGTAGAAGGTGCGGAACATTAAAATAGAGAATCCATAGCGCCTCGTGCCGATTTGAATGCAAACTGATTGGCCCGCGACGAAACGATAGTCTGAGACTTCACTCCTAAAACATGCTCTTTCAAGGTGCTTATTCACAGTAACACCAACGATTATCTTGAAGGAAGAGAGGAATAATACGTGACCGAAATTGGGTGGTGCTATGCAGTATTACAGTACTAGAATGTAAAAAAGGGATATTGACATGATTTTCATTTTAACTCCGCTTTCGTCATACCGCAGAAGTCAAACAAGAATCTTATCACCATTGTTAGTCAAACGTGGGCCATTTGAAAAAGGTCAGCGACCCTCTTCTCTGAGGATTATATAGGAATAGTATATCGAAAGACTAGCCAACGGCCTTACTAATTTCTCCCTATTTGGTGGTTTCCACTGCCAAACTCTATGGCCCTACCAATTTCACCCTATCTGATGGTTTCCACTGCCAAGCTCTAAAATTTTTAGGTATTAGTAAGCTGGTATCTCAGGGGCATTATGAAATATTGCGCAACCTAAGCTTCGATATTCCACTGTTGAATAGTCACGACATGAGACTGGCACACGAATACGCTGGTGTACTGCACACCCGTCAATGGATGAGAAAGACCACTGGCTTAGGGTTGACCGTGCCAGGGCGCCAGGGCACTTGGCAACCGAAAGGCATGATGAGCGTTTGAAATGTCATCTGGGTACTCTCGCACATGCACACTACTACAGCACATCTGCTTTCTTTCTCTTCTTCAAAAGACTTAGCCTTAGTAACACGCTGTGTTGGGCTTTTGCCTGACTTGGTTGACATTAGCCCCGTAACCATTCGAGACCCTAGTCGGCGAAAAAGGAAAGGAATATGAATGCCTATTTCGCTCGGACCCCAGCCTTCAAGGAATCTCTAAAGCTTAGAGTTATTTCCAATGCGTGCGGTGTGAGAGTGCGCATAACTCGCAGACCCCGTATACCCTCGATGATTTATTGACAGACAGATCTGCGATGGGAGAAGGGATACCAGGCTGTTTTAGTCTATCGATTTCATGGTTTACGTAGCTAGCCCTAGTCAGCGTAAGCCAGCTGAACGAGAAAATAATTCGTTCTCCACAGCAGTAACGTCAACAAAATAAATAGCACAACGGTTTCAAAAGCATAGGGTCACTAATTAAAAAAGGAAAACGGCACCCTCTTGGACCATTCCTTTTCTAATTCGCTCACTTACTACGCAATCGGATAGTTTAGTGTGAAAATTACTAACGGAACAGAAAGGAAACAATACAAAAAACTAAAAGACTACAAAAAGTAGAAACAGCCCACCTCCTGCAGGGCCATCTTGAGCAGAACCGGTCGCTACTATTCGTTTCATGCCCTTGAAACAAAAGGTCGATATAGTTAGTTAATCTATAGACTACCACCAAACCACATGAAAAAAGGATTGGATGGAAATGCCTACCTTAATTCCCTTGGTGACTGCCTTATTAGTGAACTTGAGCCAACTGTTTTTCTCAGTTTCCTTTGCTATGTCAAGCTCTTTCCTCTTCATCTCCTTTTTCTGAGCTCGCAGACGGCGTCGTTCCCGTTCAGCCTTAAACGGAATACGAAAAGTTTTTTTTTTTTTTGATAAAACACTTCGAGTCAAAACTTACGAGCCATTCCTTTTTATTGGCTGCACTCTTTGAAATAGCACTACGAGTGTCAAATACGTAGTGCTTTTTACCCCCATCGGGAGCAGCGCTCAGATCGGAAGTCAACCGATTGCTCTGACCGCTACCTGTAGGAATATAGAAGCAAGTTGACATAAAAAAGAAAGGTAGTTTGATAAAGAGCGGAGGCTAAAAATTCAAAGAAAAATGATAAAAAAAATCTTTGAAAAAAAAACATCCAGCACCTACTAACTTAAGAACTTTCTACACGTTAGTATGCTGTTCAGAATGGCCGATGTCAGACTTTGCGATTGAAGCGATTTTGCGCCAATTGCAGGAGCGACGGAGCTGGAGCGACGGATCGCTCAAGCGATCCATCGCTCGGGCCGTGATGTGCCTCCTTGGCCGTTGTGGCAGGGAGCTGCGAGCGACGGGAGATTTACGAGCTGATGGCGCCGAATTATCGGTGGTCGGCGGTGTAAATCTCCCGTCGCTCCTGCAATTGGTGCAAAATCGCTCCAATCGCAAAGTCTGACATCGGCCAATGAGGCCATTAACACTTCGCGTTACCATGTTCTGAATAAATTCACAGCTATATGTTTGACATTATTCTCCCCCCAAAGTATGTGTGAAGGTTTCCTCATTTAACGAGCCAATATGTCGAGGGGAATTCTGGACGTGACTACTTTAGCCCAAATAAATTCGAAGAGTATTGAGTTGCGCAGTAAAATTCAAACCACCACTGACCTCTTTCATTGTTGTTGATTGGAACAAAGTTCAGCTGAGAGCTTCGTTCCAATCAACTACAACGAAATCTTGAGAAACATTCAAGTTCAGGAACCCACTAATTTTAACTGACATCCTTCTAAAAGCGCTATATGAGTGATGTATTTGTGGAAAAATTAGAACGCTGGAGAAGTGCAAATGGACAGCACAGACAAAGCCCAGTCGAGAATTTAACCTTAAAAATCATACAAATGATTTACTTACTGATAAATAAAACCGCCACTCCGGCAGCAGTGAGTGAGTCCACAACAGCCACACCACGATTTCCGTTGGGCAAGGGTGCCATGACACGATCGCCAACCTGAATTCAAACCAAGCACTTTTAATGGATCCACAGCAATTTCTCGGCGTCACAAAGGCCTTTGCGGAGTTCAAATCGATACATAAAGCGAGCCATTGGAAACATTAAAGCCTACCTCATATTTCTTGGCGGGTGCGCTTACTCTGGCAGTTTCATTGGCAGAACTAGACGCCGTGGTACTGGCTAATTCTTCCTGAAATCGAATCACTCGATAAAATTAGTAAATTCAGGATGAGATAAATAAATCCACAATGAACCTGCACCAAAAGAAAAATACCTGAAGTGCTATAACTTCTTCAAGATCTGCTTTGAGTTTCTTTAATTCCTCGTTATCTGGATCACCTAGAAGAGCAGCTTCGACCTAAAAAATACAAAGCTCTGCAAGTTGCCGCAGCGTGATACTGCTGGAAGAGCAGCATAACAGTTATAATTTTGAAGATTTAATACCTGCTGAAACTGAAGCCTATAACTTGCAAGTTCTTCGTCGGCCATAATGCAGCACAAGCAATGAGCCCTAAAGCGATTTCAAAAAAGAAAGCCACACATGGATAAACCAGGTCTGGACAAAATTAACGAGATGTCAAAAATGTAGAAGAAAAACTCAGATCCGAAATCCTGAAAAGTGATCCGAAAACACCTCATAAAGATCAGCCGCGAATTCAAGGTAACGTGGATGGCAGTAGAAAGATTTTTTGAAAACTAACATCGGAGATGTGAAACGCTTAAAATCTAGGCAAACTCTCAAGAAACATGAAAACCACCCCACACCAAAAGCGAAAGTAAAGCAAGCCAAATGACGTCAATATTGTGCGGTGCGTGCAATTGCACATGAGCCGCGCAGTAACCCGCTATCGTTCTGGGGCCGGGTGCAGCAAGCCCCAACTAGGGGAGGGATCCCCAAGGTTGGGGATATGTCCCCAACCTTGGGGATATATCCCCAAGGTTGGGGAATATCCCCAAGGTTGGGGATATCCCCTCACCCGCTGAGGGGATGTATCCCCAACCTTGGGGAGAGGGGACGGGTACCCATCCCTCTCGTCGGGGCTTGCTGCACTCGGCCTCGTGTCTGACCGGGCAGAGAATCCTCGATGTGCCGTTGAGGAATCCTCAAGCGATATTCACCTTGACCTCTAGTCCTGCGACTCCACTTAAAGGAGTACAGTATAATCGTTGATCCATTTACCCAGCTAGATACCACGAGATGATGGTTTTTGAACCAAGTCTCGGGGGAAATATAAACATCGTAATTGTCACATGTCATTGTATCAAAATAGGTGCTGCTTTCGGGAAAGATTTGACATTAGAGTAGAAAGACCTGTATATTTAAAAACGAGGGAGAAACATGCGATTCAGAATGGAAAAGCTGAGGAGACGAGCCTTTTCCTGAGTGGCACAAATCCTACGTTGTGCCCGCTCTGTGTTGCTGGTGCTATGGGGCAAGGAATTTGTGTTTAAATGCGTCATGCGTTCTTCATGAAGACGCTTCCTCTCTGCATTTATGCGAGACTCCCTGAGGAACACCCCCCGTCGGGGAAGAAGCGAAGTCGAGAAGCACGGGAGATGGCCAAACGTGAAAAGCTTCCCCTCCACTACCACTCCGCCATCTTGTTCGCTTGCCATTGGTAGTTGCAATGAAGTTGGAGACATTAGTATTCAGACTCCACTTATCAGTTTATGTTATTTGTTGTCAGTTCATAAAGCTCACCACGAATGTCGCCTATGCCTATGCTACATATAGAAGCTGGGTCTTACCGTCATCGCAGAGGCTACAACGAAATTGGACCTACTTAAATTTTACTTTTCTTATCAGCCGTTATCATCAATTGTTATCACTTCATTATATAAACCAGAACTTTGGTGTGTCGGTTTGTCGGTGTGTGTGTGTCGTTCTGTCCGTCCGGACCAACCGCTCACAAAACCAGGGAGTACGAAGGGCAACACTTCGTGATGTTGATGTCATGATCATGATAACACCCACAGCGGCTATATAAACACCGATCGAGCACACTCAGTCTCATTCTACATGGTGCTGCCGTGGCAGCCGGATGAGCGGGGGGGGGGAGGGAGAGGGGTAGAGGGAAGGGGCAAGAAAGGGGAGGCTGGAAGGGAGGGGAGAGGGAAAGGGGCAAGAAAGGGGGAGGCTGGAAGGGAGGGGAGGGGGAGAGAAAAGGAGGGAGAAGGGGAGAGGAGAAAGGGAGGGAGAACATGGCGCTGTCATGCGCCGGAGAGGAGGGTATAAGGAGGGGGGAGGTGGGGGAGGAGAGACTGAGAGAGAACGACCGTTTTAAGAGTAAGGTCTATATTCATGTTGACGTATTATTCTAACCTGATGTGGTGATTGTGATAACACCCACAATGGCTACAAAAACACCGAACGAGCACACTCAGCCTCATTCTACATGGTGCTGCCGGGGCAGCCGGAGTCGGCGGGCGGTAGAGGGGAGGGGGGGAAAGGGAAGGGAGGGGGAGAGGAGAAAGGGAGGGAGAACATGGTGCTGCCATGCGCCGGAGAGAAGGGGTATAAGGAGGTATAACACATTCAATAGTGAGGTGGTTAATGGAGTACGTCATGCTGCTATTCCGTGGTTCCTCCCTACCCTGTGATGCGCGATAGCGGGCGGTTTTTAATAACCCACTATCCGTGTTCACCACCGATCCCCCATACCACATGTAAAAGCTAATGTTCTACTGCCACCGCGAAGCCGCAACAAATTTGACGATGTTCACACTTCTACGCTTCCTTTCACTTCTTATCACCTGTCATAACTTTCTCTCCCAACGTCCACGCCTCATCCTCACAAAGCATACATGAGTGCAACATGTTACTGTCAATGCGATGTGCGTAATGAAACTGGTGGCGTTGGCATTTCGGTATACATATGTATATCAGCTCCTATCAATAGTTATAACTCCTCACCCTATCATCAGTGTTCTGGTTCAGCCCCCTATATACCCTAGAAGTTTGAGCGCTCTGGGACCAAAGGGAGTGAAGTTATGAATTTCCGGTCAGACACACATACCCACACAACCGCTTAAAGGCACGCTCCACGATTAGGCGCGCTCGCCTGTTCCATCCCGGGGGTAGTAGGCAGGCGGACAAGTGTTGATGTCGCGCCCCTTTTGCCGCTTGAAAGTGCGCGACAAAGGCGCAAGAGCTCGTCCGACCGCAACTCACACCTTCGTCCGCAAGCCCCACCCTCCGCTGTCGGTTGCCACGTGGCGCTGCTTGAAAAGCGCGGGCGCATTTGAGGCAGCGGTCCCATTGCGACCCAATGTCATTGGCACTGGAGCAACTAGAGTTAGGTTCGTGAAACTCGTCCAACGCGCCCTTCTCTATCCCAAGGTGGAATGTGGCTGAAATAGGGGAGGTCTCTGTACGGGGCGTAATCGGTGGTTTCGTTTGCTTTCCTTCTCTTTTACAGACCACCTCCCACCTCTAGCTTCATAACTGAACGCTTTTCCACACCTATTTTATCCCGAATCTTGCCTTTAAAGCGAGAGATTACGATAAAGTGCGTATGCAGCGTGGAAGTACATGCACCATTGGAAGCAGTAGTCAGGGGCCCAAGGAAACGAAATGTTGCGTTTTTGTGGTCAAAGGTGCGCTAGTTGCAGCGTACAAGGCTTGCCATTCCTTTCTGAGCCCCGCCACGGTCTGTGCTCCGCCCCCAGCAGCAGCGCCCTTCGATTGCCAATGTGACGAGATATTCCACTTCCAGAGTGTATCCTATAACTTTTCATGGGATGCGTGATCAATCAAAGCATGATGCTTGCTGAAATGATAGAGGCTATCAGCATAACATGTGCAAACGACCTCCTAATTGGTTGCTAGCTCGTCCATTATCGGAGGTCAACGGGCAAAGAAGGGGTCCCATTCTGTGCCTTCTTGACGGATTTCTTTGCATTTTGCCACTGGGGC